CCCCACTTTGAAAAGAGGCAACAGGAATGTGGAAGGGTGAGTAGAGCTGCATGCCACCGAACAATCAGCCTTTTCACCGTGTAATTCAAAGCGTGCAGAGCACGCTGGGCCACAAACCGAGAATTTGTAGTTTGGCAGTTGGCCTTCGTGGCCAAGCCAGGCTGGAATTCTTGGAGTCGGCTTTCGGGAAGAATTCCCGTCATCAAGGGGTTAACTCGCCTTCCTTTGTTGGCAATTTGAGGTATTTTCAGTGTCTTTGATAGGAAATCCATGAGAGCGTACTCAGATCTGTTATAACCAAGTCTCTTTTTTTAAAAATTGCAAGCAATTTGCCCAAGTTTGAAATAAAAAAATGTGCACTCTGTATACATTTAAAAAAAATGTGACATCTTTAACAGGGCTTTGCGTGTTGGATGACTTTTTTTAGGAAAATCCAGGAGTGGTTACCAGTGCTGACAATCGAATGCATGGCTTTGAGTCAGGAGACTATGTCATGTTTAAAGAAATTGAAGGAATGACCATTCTCAATGGAGTAACACAACAAGTAAAAGGTAAAAAAGTTTAGGAAGTCAGAATGAGAATAAGTCTGATCGTGGAGGATTTAGAAGATATAATTTTTTTCCCTATGCCAAAAAACATGGGCCATCAATTTTTCACACTAGTTAAAAAAATGTAATGCTTGTTGCACTTTGGAATTAAGATAACTTCTACTGAATGCTTCAAAATGTTTGATTATTTTTCCTCCTAGTTTTATCACCATATGCGTACAGTATATGTGACACCAGTGGTGATGAGTACCGGCCATATAAAAATGGAGGGATTGCTGTACAAGTCAAAGTTCCAAAGACAGTGACATTTGTAAGTCAAGTTGGAAAGTTTGGCCTTTGGGATTATGTACTTAGAAGTATCAAAACCTGTGAGTTGGTTGAACAAATTCCTGTTCATTTTCTTCATGATGACAAATTGTTTGAGCTTGCATGGTTTTGAGAAGAGAAAGTTTATTCTGTATTTTGAACAGTAAGCTTAGTTCATCTTCAGGATGAAACGGAGTGGTCAAGTAGGCCTTAGTCTTAAATGGCAAAACTTTGTTTGCAGCACACCTCTTGAACAACAGACAGTCCTTTTTATGGAGTCCAATGGAGTGCAAGATGTTTTTACTTGTTTAATTTACATCTCATCAATCCCTCTAGCCCCTCTGATTTTCAGATTGTTTTAGACCCAGACTTATTGTGTTTTTTTCTTGCATTAATTATTACAGGAGAGTTTAGCAAAGCAGCTCGTCTCACCATCAACATCATTTGTAGATTTCCTAAAAGACCCTGTCTTCTCTCATGTTGCCATCTGCTCACTGCAGCAGTTCAGGGAAGATCACGGTAGACTTCCAGGAGTCAGGTCAGTACCAGTCCAAACTGGTCAAAAGCAGTTTGAAACTGGATTAAACTGGATGGGTTAATGGTGTTCAAGGGATTGGAATCAGGTTGATGCATGGACACTTTCCTTGCCAACCTTCTCAGCGATCAAGGTTCGAATCCCACCCAAACTGACATGTATGTTATGTAGTAGTACCTGTTTGGTTCAGTTGGTTTTCTTGGAATTTTATTGTTGGAATTCCTTTCATCTTTTTAACTAAAATTGTAGAACATTACGGTCTGTTTTTTCTGAAGGCGTCTTCATTTCTTTAAAGTGTAGCTGCAAATGAATTTTCCTAGACACAATTTTTCTCTAACTTCGTATTCTTTAATGTATGAAAACTGTTCTACATTCCTATTTTGTTAAATGCATTGAAAACTGCACTTTTGTAAACAGTTAAAACTTGTCCATGCTTTCCTGAACAACTGAGGGCGCTGTTGCTCTGGAGTCATCTAGGAAGCCACAGTTTAGTACATAGGCACTTCTGTTCAAATTATAAACCCAGAATTTACTTACTGGAAACATTTCTGGGAAACGGATTGATGCGTGCTTATTGCTTTGCACATGAACAACAATAAATCAGCAGAAAAAGAAAAAACTGAGTCCATCAAATCCACAAAATGCAGGCCTTTCTTTGTGTACAAAACAATGTAACATTGACGCTTCTTCCTGGAATGACATCACAGTTGCTCTTGAATATGGAAATACTCATCAGCATTAAAACCAAAGGGGCAGTAAAATACCCTTTGAAATAGTGAAACAAAAGTTGGACATAGGGTTAACTGAGATACAAAGGTGCATGTTGAAGGTTTGTGTTAAAACAAATTGATTGCAGCTTCCTTTTAAAGCGGCAGTGACTATGCACTTTTCAAGAACCCTTAATTTGACCCTAAACACAAATAGAGATGGAATAAAAGTTTCAGTAGCCGTTTTTGTTGCTGAAGTGAATGAGAAGTGTTTGAGAGGCACCTTGTAGCTGAGTATGTTTCAGAACTGGTTTGAACTGGTTACAGTCAGTCTAAACTGGCTACAGCCAAATCATTTTGCTATGCAAATGTTAATAAGGCCCCCCAAAAATGGTTAGTCTCTAGTCAGACTGATCTTCCAGAATTGATGTGGCGATGCGCCTTTGTTTTCCTTCCTTATCCAGGGTTGTATTGTACAGACAATTGCAGACACACATTACTGAGTCGTGGGACTAGACCAGCTTTATTATGATTATAAGCTAACAACAAACAACTTTGTATCCATAGCCTGCTATTGTTGTTCGACATCGATTTTGCTGGGATCTATTGCCCTGAGTAAGAGATAGAGCTACCTGCAAAACTGTTGAGGCAGTGCGGCAAGAGAGGGCGCTGTTGCAGCTCTCACAGAAAAAAAATTGACTCCCATGCTTAAAATCAATGCACTTGCTTATCAGAGATGAAGGCATCTTTTGCCTAATGGTGATTTTTATTTCATTTGGCAGGCTGTGTGGTTGAAATTCAAAATATTTTTTCCCCCCATCCAGGTCGATAGAGGACAGCAACATTCTCATTGAAATTGCCAAGCAGTTGAATGATAAACTAGATAACCCCCTCAATCCACTAGATGAGGAGAGTCTTCGGAGGATCTCACTTACTGCTGAGGGGTGTTTCGCTCCACTGACTGCCACAATGGGTGGGATCATAGCCCAGGAGGTCCTGAAAGCACTCACTGGGAAGTTCACCCCTATCAACCAATGGGTAAGTCCAGGACAATCTCATTTGCTGCCGAGGGGTGCTTTAATTCTCTGACTGCCACAATGGGTGGGATCATAGCCCAGGAGGTCCTGAAAGCACTCACTGGGAAGTTCACCCCTATCAACCAATGGGTAAGTCCAGGACAATCTCATTTGTTGCCGAGGGGTGTTTTAATTCTCTGACTGCCACAGTGGGTGGGATTATAGCCCAGGAGGTCCTGAAAGCACTTACTGGAAGTTCACCCCTATCAACCAATGGTTAAGTCTTAAAAGATCTCATTCAATTAAAGATCTCATTTGCTAAGAGGAGTTTTGGCTCAATCGTAATACACTTAATCAGCAAGCTCACCTCTATCAAAAATGTGAAAGTCTTAGTATGCAGTCTTCAGACTGTCAAGACAGAACACACTACCTACATCTATGTGGATTATCTATTCATATCTTTCTGTGGCCTTTTCAAAAGTTTGGCTTCATCTTTAATGTCTTTGTTGAGCTTCGCAAACAATTTTGAGTATTTCTACTATCTCTAGTGGGAGCAAAAAGAATTACAATAAACAAGTGTTTAATATTTAAAAGCAGGATAAGTTTTCCAATTCAGGAACAGAAAAAGGAGCAGCATTGAGCTTAAGTTACTAAAGGGGTCTGAAGCCAAGTTGAAGACAAACAGAAAGCATTACACTCTGTAGGTCATATCTCAGGGAGAGTCAATTGTGGTTGCTTTTGTGTCTGCTTCTTATTGGTAGTTGCATCTAGATGCCAGGGAGGTTTTGAGAGACATCAGCCAGAGCCCAGCCAGCACATTCCAGCCTAGGTCAGTAGGGATGATTGAAGTGAGCTAACCTTTTCTTGCAAATGAAGTCTGTCTTGTCATCACAAAACTAGTCACAATTGCTGAACAATGTTGCAGTTCATTTGACTTGTGACTTGAATTTTGGCAGGTTTTTACTTTGGTCTTGGGATGGTTTTAAGAGATCTCAACTATATGCTTTGGTAAACAACTTCAAGTCAAAGGAAGGTTGAGGGAACCAGTTTCTTTGTGCTGCTGTTAATTAGCAGAAAATAATGACAACCCAATGTATCTGCTTAGCAAACCTCAGTGGAGAACCAGTTTCTAGCAGTGTACATCACATGGCATTTTAGCAGGTAATCCTTGCTTGCTAAGCAGAGTTTTTGGAGTGTGTGGCAGATTTCTTCTGCTTTGAAATTGATTTTGCTCAATTTGAAATATCAACTTTGGCAAGTGAACAAAATGTAAATGGGAGTCAATTTATCTCTCAAACTTATCTTTTTAAAAGCATTCTAATAAATTGCTTACTGGATTTTATTTATTTATTAATTGGTATTCATGACCGACCTTTCCCCCTTTGTAAAATTGTTCATTAAAAAAAAATTAACGGTGCTTCAAAACATATTTAGGGGACCCGGAAGCATTTTCGAAGTAATTGTTGGTTCATTCACTAGGAACGATCGATATGATGCCTTGCGGATCTGTATTGGCGAGGACCTCCTTCAGAAGTTCCATTCTCTCAAGTTGTTCATGGTTGGTTGTGGTGCCATAGGCTGTGAGATGCTGAAGAACTATGCATTGTTAGGGATCGCTACAGCTGACAAGAGCAAGGTGAATATAAATGAGGGTTTATTACAAGTAATAAATAGTATTTGACAGAAATGAGAAGACACCCTCAAGTGCGACTTGCAACTGAGCAATTCCAATTAAATCTTAACAGTGGTAAAGGATCAGGAACAGTGGTGCCCTGGTATCCTTCGAGCTGGGTTCACTCCTGGGATTTCATATATCACTATAGTTTGCATAGTTTAGCATTATCTTGTAATCTGCCCCATGCAGAAGCACCCCTCATCCATGGTAATTTTGTTGGTAGTGACATGACTGTGACGTGACTGAACGGGCAAAGTGCAGTTCCCACCAAAGGAGCCTGCATTGCTAGGAAAATTCCGCCCTCCTGTGGTCCAACTCAGGGCTCATAGTTCATCCAAGTTTCATTTGGATGGATCTGTATTCAGTTTATGTTTTGATATTTTTTTCCAGATTACAATCACCGATAATGACATCATAGAGAAGTCCAATTTGAATCGACAATTTCTTTTCAGACCTCATCACATACAGGTGTGTGTTCAAAATGTTACTGTATCCATTAAATTTCTTGGAAAACTTCATTGCAGTTGACTCAACAAATAGTTTTCCTGAAACTGCTCAAAACTGAGCTAAAATGAAACAAAACAGATTATTTTGAATTGTAGAGATTGATCTGAGGTTGATTTTGTTTTGGTCATGCTCAGAAACCCAAGTCCACAACAGCAGCTGCTTCAACTCAGGACATCAACCCCGACGTTAAGATACACGCTCACCAGCACAAAGGTATAAGACTGGAAACCTGCCATTGCCGTTGGATTAGTAGGTCATTGCGACAGCATTGTGACATGACTCATCTCTGCTGTCATGAGCTCTGTGCTTGTCAGGGCACCAGACTAATGTATCTGGCAACTCGACTCTATCATAAGTTCTGTGCACATGCACATGTACTGCCCTTGCTGATGACAGAGAGAAAGGCTTGGCCGAGACATAATGTGATAATCTCATACAATGTCTTTGGCAGATGACACAGTGCTCTTTCTCATGTACGTATGTAACTTGTAAAAAACACATTGTTTTCTAATCTCTACCAACCTAGCTGTTGTAAGGAAAGAAAAACTATTTTGTTTAAACCTTGCTGCTTTTTGTTAATATTTTTACTTCATTTTTGAAGACTTAATCCTGTGTTCTAGTGCTGATGGTGCATTAATCGTAGATCTTGCAGATAAGTAGGGCAAAGTTTGATTTGATAACAAACATTTCAATCAAAAACAAATATTTAAAACCCCCCTTTTGCTACTTTAACCCAGTGATGACAATGTCTTGACTTCTTGTGTGATTCTCAGTGCCGTGCAGTCACAGAGATTTCTAAACAAACTACGCTGCTAAAATTCTTTGTCTCTTCTCTCTCCCAGTTTGTCCAGAGACTGAGATGACCGTTTTCAACGATGAGTTCTTTAAGGCGATGGACGTTGTCGTCAATGCATTGGACAATGTGGCTGCCAGGCAATACATGGACAGGTTTGTCTAAAGTCTCAGAGTTGGGTCACATTTTGTTTCTAGACATTGTCCTTGAGCAGGGCTCTGAACCATACCTGCCCCGCATTATCCAGGATGATAAATTGGCCCCACAGTACATACGGACTCAAACACTTCGTTCCTTTTGAACAAAACATTGTCTCAGTTGATAAACCAGAAACTTAGTGAACAAAATACGACTGAGTTCATGTAAACGGACTTGTATTAATTTAAATGTTGTTGACTGTTTCTGAGAACAGCCGTTGTGTAACCAATGAGAGACCACTCATGGAATCAGGCACCATGGGGGCCAAAGGTCATGTACAGGTCATTGTGCCTCACATGACTGAGACATACGGCAGCCAACGAGACCCACCAGATGAATCGGTACCATACTGCACCCTCAAGTCTTTCCCATCCACAGTGGAACACACTATACAATGGGCTAGGGATAAGGTGAGTGTTGACCCCTAACCTCTGGCCTATGACCTATGAGGTTAATTTTCCTATGACAGAATACACAGTGCACATTGTGCACAAGTGCTCCCTCATTGGTGACAGAGAGACCGGCTGGGCCTTGACCTTGATGCCGTTGTTGTTATGCTCATACATACGAAGTATGTATACAAAGACCCTATGTTTTGTGCACATTCAAATGAAACCTGTATGTACTTTCTACTTGGACTTAATGTTTAAGCCTCATGGGACTAAGAACCAAAGTGTCTTCTTACTTTTGCATTCCACACAACTGGCTAGTTATAAAAGAAGTGTCCTCTTTAAATCGATGACCTTTGATTCTTGGCACCATGTTAATATTTTGTCCTTGCCCTACTTTTAGTTTACCTTTATGCTCTGAACATCTTGTGAAAAAGCATTGGAATTGAATAAGCTGAATATTTTCCCTTTTTTTTCCAGTTTGAGAGTTCCTTCACCCAGAAACCAACAATGTTCAACAAATATTGGACTACCAACGGTTCAGCAGAGGAGGTCGTTAAGGTACCGTTAAATGAGCGATATTGCCAAGAGAGAAGAAAGTGTGTGTAAAGATACTAGTTTTGAAAATCAAAAACTCAAACCATGCAGTGAGTTCAGCCTTGTGTGCCTCAAGTATGTTGATTGGGAATCCAGTGATGTTCTACTCTCAATATACAACTGGCCCAAGTAATGCAAGTATTATATTATTTGAGCTGTGTAGTAATGACGTCACAAAAGGATGCAATATCAAATGAATTATGAGTGTCTCTCATAGATTTACATTGGTTATTGGGGAAAGCTCTTTCAGATAAATGAAGGCAGTCGTGGGGCTGACAGTGGTTCAGAGAAATGAAGGCAGTCGT